ATATTAAATTAAAATAAATTAAGCACAGAATTAATTAAAATGAAATTCTTTTTAACACTTCTAATTAATCCTGTGTATGCTACAAATAATGTTAAGAACACCAATGTTGTACTATTACCTTTTGTGATTGTCTTTCAAAATATTTTGGCGCATGTGTTTTTATTATTATTATTAAATAATTTTATTTTGTTTTCTTTTAAAATTATATTTATTTTAAACATTTTATCACAAACAAAATTAGAATTAACATTAATCTAATATCTATATATTTATTTTTTGTTATTCTACTAATTACAGTTGAATATTTTACAATCTGTATAAGTTTTGTTATACAATCTCTAAACATTGTTCATGCTCATCAGTTTAATTTAGTTTATTTTACATATTATTTCAAATAATTGAATCTCTCATTTATTTTTAATTTTTGGTTATTTCATACAATTTTGTTTCTTTTTATGAAATACATTTAGTTATCCAATAAATGAAGTATCAATGTAAAATATTAGCATGTATATTAATAAACTTGATTGTCACTTATTATACATACTTCACACTTTTAAAAAGTACTGAAACTTTAAAATATACACATATATATTATTATTTAGCTCTATGATTTATTAACAAAGTCTAATTTGTACATGAATAAAATTATAACTGTACTTTTTATTTCCAATAATATATGTGTATAATAAATATGAGATTGCCATACACGCATGTTTTTTCTTTGTCTTACAAACATAATACATGATAACAAATATTGGGTTCTGTAATGCTGTTAGTGTGTTGTAACATTAGAGCAAATTAAACCATTATAAACTTTTTTTATTAAATATACTATATAGGGAAAATTGTCGACCTTACCTGTTTATATTTTAATTTTGAAGTATCTGCATTTAATGTCGTTATATTAAAGTTAGCAACACAAAATTTATGTTGCTAAATAAAATTTTGTTGTTTTATGTGTGTCGTACTAAGACAACATACAATTAACCCAAAAACAAAAAATAACTATTGCAAAAACTGTTTATAATAACATTTAAAAGACATAAAAACTCAAACTTTGTACTTTTTAGATAATTCAGTAAATACAAAATATATAATTTTAATGATTTGTATATGGAAAATTAACAGTATAAAGTATGTACTCTTTGATCAAGTGACTGTACTAAAATTGGACTTCTTTGATATAATACAGTTTTTATTGACTTATTTAAATAACAACCAATTTTTAGCAATGAATTCTTAGTTTTTTAATGTATGTCTGATAAGTGATAATTTTAAATGTTACTATATACAACTTTTTTCATTTTTTAGAGTAATTATTTTTTATTTTTGACTGAAATATCATGAATTTACTAACACATAGAAGAAAAAATTACTTTAATTAGGTACCGTTGTCTATTACTGAATGTCATTCAAATGTAAACAATATAGACAAGTTTTTACAGTAGGAATTTTAAATGATCATTAGATATGTTAATGTTATTCAGTAAACTTTTTGTTTAAAGCCAGAGGTAGATGAACAGATCTTTCAGATCTATGTCCAAGTCAAGTAACCCGTAATATTGCTTAGTAAATACTAATAGCCTTTATGTTGTATGTTAATGTAATTCACAAATTTCTTACATACTATTTTGTGACAAAAATAAAATAAATTAATATTTTGAGAATTTGCCAATATTCTAATATACAGTTTCAAGACTTAAAATATATTTTACCTTGATATACTTATAATGAAAACAAAAACTAAATTTTCTGTTAAACATAAGATATTTGAGTATGCATTTTGTGACAATTAAAATTAAAAGCAGTATGTATCATGAACTGTTTAATCAATACGATAAAGATAAAAAGTGCTAATTATTTTTAATATGCAAATTTAATTGTAAAATCTTATGAATACATAATTTTAAAAATTTAACTAACTATTTGTTATGACATATCCTGATACATCTCCATTATTCTTTATTAGTATAAAAGTACTAAAAATTAATAATTGATAAGTAATTTTTGTAGAATTCGCATAGATTTTTTATTTGTTTTGTGAGGTCGAGAGTATATAAATTTTTAATTTTTATACATCTATGTATCATAAAAATCAATCAATAATTGTATTCTATGTCATTGTATAGTATGAATACAGATATATTTATATATATATACACAATACTATATAGCTAATTAGCATAACATTTGGAAATCAACCGTGTTTAGTCGCGTGTTGTTCAATGTTTACATTACTTATTGTTATCATTTCTTATCATTATAAAAATAATACAAATTAAAATGCTTGTAATTTAATATATTTTATTATCATAAGACATAAATGTATTAAATATACATTAAAATTGTTAATTACGTGTGACAAATGTACATAACCTGGGACGGACTGGGCCACTGTGGGTAGGTACTGTGCATTCGCACAGTGAGCTGGTGTCATGTTATATCCATCGGTCCGATACAAAATAACCTTACGTGTAAACATCGTATAAAAAATATTTTTATAGACAGATATTTTTAGTAAATACTTTATTATACACAAGTTTAATTCCCTGCGTATTACGTAATATGTTAGTATATGTATTATATATATATATATTGCTATGCAATCAGTGGTCAACTGCCACCGGAGAATGGTCGATATTTTTACTAAATAATTTAGTACTTATATTATATTTAAGTATTTGAATTTAGCCACAAATCCACAAATATATTATTAAATATTAATATTTAATATAGGTAGATTATGTGTGCCTTTATAAAATAACAATATGATAGTAAATTTAAAGTTTAAACTGATAAAGTGATAAACAAAAACATTGACTACCACCATATGGCTATTAACTATTATAGTATTCTGTAGATATAAAATACTTATAAATTTGTTAAAAAATGGAATCATATTATTATTCTATGTAACACAACTTGTTGCACTTAAGTCGATGATGTTTTAAATTTTGTTTTAAATAATTTATACAAAAAAAAAAAAAAAAAAAAACAATGGTTGGAAGATAATATTTCATTTATATATGAGGTATCTATAAAGCACAATACTTATATTACATTGGAACCTTTATTTGACAAAATTGAAGTTACTTTGAAAAAAATTTTTAATATTATTATTTAAATCATATTTTTTTCCATTAAAAAAATTGATTTTTAGTGCATGAAATGTGTGCAAAAAATAATATATAATATTATTAAATAAAAAAATGCATTTAAATTATGAATTGATTTAATTCTTTGAAATTGAAGAAATTCCAGATAGCTTGCTGAAGAGCTTTTGTACCATTTTTGTTCTTACAACAAAAGGGATTGCAGTAATTTAAATAATTAAGGATATCATTTAGCTCTTATTTTGGCTTACTATCTATGACAATAGTGTTAAATGCAGCTATAACTATGTGTTTAGACTAGAGAAAGGAGATTAATCTGTGTCCTCTTCATTATCTATTGGATATTAAGCAACATCTTCATACACTTTTAAAAATTCATGTTATGTATGTTTATAATAATTATACCTTTTGTTTTGCAAACTGGTAACAGTTGATTTTTTTTAATAGTAATCATTTTTTATATATAACATTAATAATAATAATCTAAGGCAATAAAATTTAACGAGGTATGATTGACAAGTGTGTACTTTATAAACTTGTAACAATATAAAAGATTTTTATAAGTGGTAAAAAATAACAAAATAAATTTGTTAAGTAAAAATAGTATTAAATGAAATTTTATAGTTGTAAAATTTTCATTACATAGATTTAAGTTAAATAAAAGTTTTTTTAAATACAGATTTTCTGTATAAATAATAGTATTGATAATCCAGTTAGGCATTTGGCATATTATTACCTAATCTATATTATTGAATTGTTGTTTTAATAATGTATTTGAATCTTTTGATAATATATATTCCAACAAAAATGTATAAATTTATCATCAACAATTATTTCTATCTGCATTATTCTTCAATTAAATCAAGTGTAATGATAATAAATAATTTCTATTTTTTATGTGGTTACTGTTTTTTTATTTTTAGTAATCTTGTAGTACTATATGATAATTTATCAAAACTACAGTATTTATATTTCTATAAACCTTTTAATGTATATCAATTTATAATAGTGTGAAGTCTCAGATTGAACTTAATACTGTGAGGATAATTTAAATAAATTTAGATTTTTGGAATAATAAGCATGGTGAAAATTTATAATTGATGATTAATAATTGTATACTGTATACAAATAAAAATTATTAGCATTGAAACAGGTAGTTTTGTTTTTACTATTCTATCTTCATGATACTCAACTAATTTATTGTAATTATAAAAATAGAATATGGGTCAAAGGACCTAAAAGTTTACTTGATGAGATTATCTTTTTCCCAATGGAATATTACTTAATTGTCCTGATACAAATACAATTCATGATTATAAAGTAATTAATATTTATCTTAATTTTATATAATATATAATTAATTTAAGTAATTAAAATTATTTATATATTATATTAATGTATGTTTTGTTATTAAATAATGTTTTTTAAATTATTTTTATTACTAATAATACGTAAAAATTGCATACTTGATTATGAATTAATAAATAAATAATAATAATAATAATGATTAACAAAAGCTCTAAATTATACTACTAACATAAGTAATATTATGATTCAATTCTTAGTTTATTTTATTAAATTATACTGAAATTATAATTTTTATATGTTGTATATTGTATAATATTATAATTAGCTAAATCAAACAAATTATTTAAGATTGTATAATCACTTGGAAATAAGAATAAAAGATCAATTAAAATAACATATTAATCAATATAAAAGTGAAACAAATTTGTAATTAAATTCAAATAAATTGTACTGTGTAGGAATTAAAAATATGAATACATAACTAAAAAAAACTTACAACTGAGAAAAAATTGAACTTTCACAGTAATAAAAAATGAAATTGCATAACAAAAAAAATTAAACATATTTTTACTGTATACATTTTCACTATAATAAAACTTAATTGTATTTATTTAATCAAATATTATTTTGAATATTTATATTTATTCATAACTATCTACTTTCATATCGTTTAATCCTAGCTCTTCATTCTGTTCATCAGTTCTATCAAACCGAGTGATTTTAAGTTTTGGATCCAAATCTGGAGGTGTTAAGCTCTGAAAATAATTAAAAATTATTAACACTATTCTGTTAAATATTAAATGATTAAAAAACTTGGCAAGATTTTCAAGTTTATTAATTTTACTTATAATATAATTTGGTAATTAAATAATAATTTTAAAATCCACAAACTATATTCTATTCAGAATTAAAGTGAATCACTTTCATATCAAATGCAAACTGAGCTAGTAAACTCTATTAGCCTGCTAGGTAAAAGCCAAATGTTAAAACATTGACTATTAATCGACACTCATTGATATTTTAAGAGTAAGATTGCACCATCGCTAAGACATGGTTAGTTTTTATTGGCTGAATAATTCACTCTAACCCTAAACTATAATAGTATCATTTACTATAGAAAAAGTAAACCTTTTGATATTTTTATCCTTTGTATGTATATTTAATAAAATACATAAAAAGAAAGTTTCATAAAACTATTTAAAAATATTATTATAAATAATAATAATAAATTATATAAAAAGGCATTAATGGTATAATAAGGAACAAAGTATGGATTTAATACAATTGTTAATAGTTATATATTATTTAGTTAAAAATAGTTACCTGGACATAACTATTTCCAGCTGGATCAGTGAGTATAATATCTACTGGCATTTTACAAGTTTTTATGTTATTTAATTTTTCTAAAAAAATCTTTGTTTTGGCAACAACGCCTTCAGATTGACTGTCGCCAGAATAAAATGCTGTAGCAGTATCTTTCAATTGTTCATATAATGATGTTATGAGACCTTCAATAGTAGTAAATCGACCACTTAGTGAAAGTGCACCAGCTTCAAAATCCAATTGTGGAATACTAAGACAACATGTTTCGGACTGAAAAATAGCATTATTTTAATATATGTATATAAAAAATTTGAGATATTAATATGTACATATTATTAAAATATATCTGTTATTATGTACATAGAATACTTAAAAAAATTAATATTTATGAGGATAAATATTATTTAATAAACTTTGTTGAGTTTTTACTGACAAAATTAATAATTAATTACCTTCAATATATCTCTGTTTAAATCTTCTGGAGACGATACTTCAACAGTAATTTTTATACCTTGCTTTTCAACTCCACCACCTGGTTTAACCTCGTTAGTACGATAACCACATTCTTCGCATGTAGTAGCCATGATTACTACTTGTTTGAAGTATGGAATATCTATAAATATCCACAAAGTCAAATAATTAGAATAATTTTTGTCATATCGATTGCTGTACAATCAAATAAATACCTGTCACTTTCATATTAGTTTCACAAATTGATTGACAATTTGGACACGGGTTACTAAATTGAACGATTTCATCACACGTATTATTAACAGATGATTCATTAAAAGTGCCTAATGGTTTGATAATTGACTCTGCGTTGTTTTCTGCTGCTAATCCTATCATTTCATCTTGGGCACTGTCACGAGTAAACATTTCTGTTTGCATTCTAGGATCAACTAAAGGTGCAACAGGATTTGAAACAAATATATTGCCAGTTGCATCTTCAAAAACCTACAATAATTAATTCACAGTTAATTTAAAATAATATTAATAATAAAAATAATTACCATCATTGGAATGGGTTTGGTTAGATTTTTGATACCAATCAGTCCATTAATTACAACTTCCATCTTTGACGCTAATTCAGGGTGTGTTAGATCAATAACTTTTTTTTGTTCACTTAAATTTGTAATCGTCTTAGTAAGTATACCTTCAACAGTAGTTACTTGTGACCGTTGTGACATTGGTGGTATTTCAAAGTCTAAATCTAACACTTGTATACTTGTGTAGTCTGTTGTTATAACATATCTATCCAAATCTTCCTTGTTTTCAATCTTTAAAGACATTCGAACACCTTGTGGCTTAATTTCGATTGCTGGGTCCAACTGGTTATTTTTAAAATGACAGTGTGGACAATCAAACGATGATATCACCAGTTCTTTGTAGAATGGAATGCGTGTCAACAAGAGTCGTGTGGTGCCCTAATTTAAAAAAATTATAAATTAGATAATATAAAGTGGAGTAATTAGTAAATTGAATTCTATAATATCCTTATCTAAACCTAAGTTAAATTTTTATAAGATAATTTTATGAATAGTAAAAAAAAAAAAAAAAATGAGACCTTAGTAAATTATTAATCAAAATTTCTATATAACAAATTTGTAAATAAATATTTTTTGTTTACAAAGTAGTTATTTATAATTTAAATATAAATATTGCTTAAAATGTATGCTTATAATCAAGTATAACATGAAACCTAATTAGAGGAATTCTCTGATATACTACAAGATTTGGTTTAAATGGACAACGAACAAATAAATATTTAAAAAGAAATTATATATTTTATTTATAAACTAAATTGTTAATACCAAAAGAATAATGTTTACCTTAGGTACAGCATTAATAAATATTTATAATGTAATTTTATTTTGTCTAAGATTTTTATAATAACGTTAACATTACTACTTACAGTGTTTTTTTATTGAAATTATGTGGATGAATATTATTACAACTATGGATATTTTGAGATATATATTTCCAAAGTAATGAGACATTTTTTATTATTTTTTTTTAAAGAGAACAAAAATGGTAATAGAAATAATGAAAAAGTACCAAATTTAATAACATCAATTAAATTGAAATAATTGTAAGTACCAATTAATTTTAAATTATTTCATTTTTATCACAATTATTGATATAAATTTTCAGTAAATTTTAAAAATAAGGTGGCAACTTCAAATGGCTGATTTGACCCCTACTAAATTTTCACTAGACTATAGACCAGGGTTGACATTACAAATTGGAGGGCTCCATACAAAATAATTTAAATTGAAATAATAAATAATAAATAATACATACAATTATTGTTTAATATATGTTTTTTACTTCTTAGTTCAAAAAATATAAATAAATGTATATAATAATATATATTTTAGAAGAATTAGAAGAACACATGCGAGATACTGAGATCCTAAAATAATATTATCGGTATGACGACATTCAATATAGTCTAATTATACACTTTGGTTCATCCTACAACTGATAAAATGAAAATACCCATAATTATTTATAATAAATGTTACATAATTTAAAAAGTTTTAACATGTCATTATGTTAATAACCAGTATTAATATAAATATAGTAAATTGGCACTGTTCACTAAGATATTACTAAACTATTATTTCAACTATAGTTTGTAAGACATAATATTATTATTAATAATGTTATCTTTTCTAAATTATAAAATTTAATCACTAATAATTTGTTTTTTTGGAGTGAGCTTGGCTTCTGCGGGGTCCTATACAAGTGTACCAGTTGCCTACGCTTGTACTGACCCTGTAATTAAACTGTAGAGTATACACTGTATATTATACTATGTCATACTTTTAGTATTGAATGACCATTAAAAGTGTTAGTGCCATGATACCACTTAATAAAAATAAAAACAATAATATACTTAATTAAAAAAATAATTTATATAAATAAATAACTAAAAATATTCATTAGAGTTCATGTTTTTTGTTACAATATTTTTTTTTTTTTTTTACTTAATTTAGTAATCTAGGAAAAATACTATTGATATGATTTTTATGGGTAAAATCTTGGCACTTTTCTATGGTCATTACAAATCGGAATGAGCAAACAACAAAATTATCAATTATTGATAGCAAAAGTTGTCGCGAGAGACCAGATAATCAATGAAAATATTAAATATTATTATTAGCAAATAATTTGTTACCAAATTGGACAAATAATTGTATAAACGATAAGATTCATCAATTAAGTAAACATCTAATTAATTTAAAAAATATAAAAATAATATTGTTTTATTACTAGAAATATTAAGTAAAATACAAAACATTATTACAAATTATTAAGGTTTAATTCTAGGAAAATTTTCTGATCCTAAACACCTAGATGCTAGTTTCAAAACTGATTCAGTCCTGACTCAACAGGGAAGTATGACAACCCTACTTTTATTTAACTATTGTAATCAAAAATTACACTAGCTACAATACTTGAATAAATTGAACAAATACACGAAACACGAACAATATGTGCAAATGAATATTTATTTAAAATGTACAAAGCCGAATAAATCGAGTAGTATACTCACATTATTTCCACAATTTAAACACAAACTCTCGATTACATTTACTTCCAACTGATCAACGTCCAATTCTGGGAATATATCGGCGGTTTCAGCACTTTTACTGTTAGCCATATCTGTATTAAACGAATCACGATCTATACAATACAATGAACAAGTTAAAAGATAATTTCCAAATCGAATGCGGCAGCCGAAAAACGTGATTTGATGGAGAGTGGAGACTACTAATTAATATAGGTAATATAGAATACGGATTACAGAGTGCCGGAAAGTGAAGACAACACAAATTGATAGAGAATTCAGTCGTGTTTGATACGTACCCGTGATAGTATTCAAAAAGTTAGGTTATAGTATTATCTACTATAGATAATAACCATGGATTGTCTAAATGGCGGGAAAATATTATCATCTAATGTAGATAAAGTTACAAAACTTGTTCTGTGGTAAAGCTAATTTGTTAATTATTAGATATTCAGATGGCTAGCTAAATTAGATTCATGCCAAACATTCATTTCTATTAGCAGTTTAACATCAACACGGCTAGGCATTATCATAAACATGATCAAGGTATTATATAATAATATGTATCTATTACTATCTGTAATGCCCCATCGACCAACACTATTATTTATTTCATGGTATTTTAAAAAATGCTTTATAACTTAATTGTTGATATTAAAGTATTATCAAACTCAGAAAACATTCCGAACACGACATTAATACATGATTCCAAAGATGTAATTTCAACTTTTTTTGAGGTTCGTAAAAACTTGGCTTATTAAACAAATTTTTAACAGACCAATATATATCATATTATACTAGAGACTAGAGTCTAGAATTCAAACAAAAGTAATTTGTTAATATATGGGTTAGTTACGTAATATATTAGGTACGTTTAAATAATATAAATTGTATTGTGTACAATGATTATTTAATAATATATACATAATAAGATAATCAATTATTTGTATGAATATTAAATATTTTATATTCAGATTTCCTACTCGTATTAAATGTGATAGATAGAATTCGCACTTTGAGCAGAATGGAATTAGTCTTAAGTTTGATAGGGCTGTCTTAGCGATACCACTTGACCTAATTTATTTTTAGAGGGCCTGAATCGATATGGAAATAAATGAATGTTAATAAGACTTAAATAATTCTCTAATAACATCTGCATGTTACTTGAAATAATAATATATTAGTTTGATTATATTAATTTATAATGAAAATAAATTAGTAGGTATACGTATATTGTATAAAAAAGTCTAGGTATATTTATATTTTACACATTAATAATTATTTCACAGTACATGTAAGTGTGTGAATTTTTGGTATCCACCGAGCACTTATATTACCTACCTTTAATTCTGAATCGATTTTTCCTTTTTGTTTTTATATTTTGGAAAATGGAATATTTTAATTTTGTTCCTGTAGAATTACTGTAGTTTAGTGCAGTACGCGTCCTTACAGTACTTACATTTGGAGTAATTCAAATATATACGATTTATACAAATAAAATGCATAATAGTTATATTTTATTATTTTTTTTTTTTTTTGTAATACACGAATTTAAAATTTATATAAATAAATTAGAATAAAACATGCGATTGAGTACAAAATTGATAAAAATATTATTCAAAGAGCTTGATGTATTACAAAATCTTAAATAATATGTTCTTATTGAAATTAAAATACATAATCACAATTTTTACATACTAAAAGGAGTAAACCTACAATATACACGCTGCCACATTGACATGATAAATGTGTGCATAATGATCTTATAAGAAAAATGTTAAAAATAATTTTAGAGCTACATTAGATTTAAATTATTAATAAAGTATACAAGTTAAGAGTCTTCAAATAAGTTTTGTTTCGAAGTCCCATTTTTATAAATTAGGTCCTCTATACTCGATTAAAATAAGTTTAAATATTTTAAAAATTCCATTATGTATAAAAAAAAATATATAGGTACGTATTTTCGAAAAGTTTCAATTCCATACAATTAATATTTCTTGATGTTTTGACGAATTTCGATAAAATTTAAACCTCAGATGCTAAAAAATAAATTAAAACAATGTAATTATTATAAATAAAATATGTTATATGACTATTTATTTTCCATATTTATTAACTCCTGCAAGAGAAATCTATTTGGAACCATTAAATAAAATTTCAGTATTTATAATTTTACCCAGAGTCCAAAATATCATCTAATGCTAAGAAAAAAATTTTTGTATAAATTAAAATATATACCTATGCACAATTTTTAAAACAAAACTTTCTTTGCACTTATGTGCACCTCTAATAATAATTGAATGCATATAAAAATGTGTTTTTTTAATTTTTTTTTTTTTGTATACTATGTATTTTTTAAAAATAATTTTACAGTTAAGCTTTATATAGGAACATACATCAAATAAATAATAATTATAGGTTTTTATATTATAAGTAACACTTATTACATACCAATAATATATGGCTTACTTTAACTTTATATAGACGTGATAAATTTTTTTGCTTTTCTACCGCCTTAGATGTTTATGTCCTTGAATTTGCTTCGTATATACCATCATATCACTGTATATAGTCTCACAATATATGTAATTATTCTGGTAATACTTACCTAAAGTATCTTTGTTATTTTAATTTTTATTCAAAGTGAAACACACAATTATACAAAAATATAATTGTACTTACTGATTATTGTTTAAATGTATAACAGTTTTCAATGACGTTATAAATGTTATTACCTATATATTATTTTGGACTTAACTGTGTGAATAAACACAAGGTATAACTCAGTATAAGTAGCTTAAAGTTAGTATAAATATTCAGAAAATAGTATTCAATTTTGTGTATAGAAAATAATAAGAACATATGATGAACAGATTTAACTATAATTAAAATAAAGTAACTATCGTTAGAAAAAAAAAATTATGATTTGTATAAATACAAAATGTCGTCGAAAATTAAACTATAAATACTTATAAAACATATGCATTGACAAAATTAATTTCAGATACAAATTAATGACAGTAATATACGAGTATAATGCAAACAACAGTTTTTTCGAAGTTGTTTGCAAAAATTTGTAGGATCTATGGTATTATTAAAAAATAAAAAGTGGACAAGTTGGTACTACCATAGATTAAATATACTTAGTATATTTAATCTATGGTATCACTATGTACTGAGATTGTCGAGTGGGTCACAGTAATGGGTGTGTTAAATTTAAATTCAATTATGTATTATTGTACACGAAAAAGATTTTGAGCGAAGATGGTCTGTCGACTGTCAGCCATTATCACTAAGTACCTATATTTTATGATTTACCTGTGTTTTTTATATTGCTATTAAAGTAATTTAATTTACTATTAGTAGATATTGCGAAAATTTGATTAAATTTTACTAAAATCTTTGCATTTACTTTATTATTAATATTTAATTATTATAATTATATATATATTATATATTTATTTTATTATATTTATACCATATTATAATATTATTAATTTTGAGTTAATACCACTTTACCGTTCAGCAGTGTGAATAATTTCATAATATAAATAAGTAATATCTTAAATCTAGTAATATTCTAATCGTTCTCAAATCAGAATTGTTTTTCGTTTACAACAATAACAATGATAAAAATTTAACTCGTTCATTATCTACTTGATACCTGCTGTATAATATAATAGAGCGGTATTCACTTGTTCAAACTACTTTTATTTATTTATGTATGATGCAATATTTGTTTTTGAGTAAAAAAGCTTGAATATTTCAAACTAGAAGAACAATTTATGAAGAATATAAATTATTTGTACCATACCTATATATATAAAAGAGTATTATAAACATAGTCACGATATTTTTGTAAGTGTTTAAGTTCAAATAAATTGATCATAATCACAAAAATTTGCAAATTATTTTGTAATTAAAATTTCATACAATTTTCAATTGAATTTAAAAAATAAATACAAGGTTTCTCATTAGTAGTTCAAATAAAGCACTGAAAATCTCGAAAATTTCACGAAAATTTATAATTTATAATTGATTAAACTAGGCAATTAATTATTAATTCAACATTTGTATAAAAAAATGTTATTTTATATTGTTACTACCTAGTACCTACTTATAAATTATAATGGCTTGGAAATTGAGTTTAACTGTGTAATAATGTAAATAACCAACGTCCACTAGGCATGAATCACTAATAACCATAAGCAAGCAGACAGCTGCTGATACCTTATAATAATAAATAATAATTAACGTTTGTTCAATCAAAAAAATATAGATCTTTACTTATCAACCAATAATGTAAAATGGCCCATGGGTAATACGAAATGAGTATACTTATGAAACAAATCACCACGCGCAGCTTTTGGTAGATATTTCGACTAGAGCACCCATATTCTTTGTCATTTTATCATTATGTCATATTGTCATCACTCATTATACTCATCATTATTCATTCTACTTAAATAATATAATATAATTTCACTAACCATTAATTATAAATTATTACAAGTCTGTAGTCCACACAATATTTTTTAATAATAATATGGCCATTAGTTGTTTTAACTTTCAAAGTATTATACTAAAAGCTACTATAGCCATTTAAAATTAAGCAGTAATTTTAAGTTTTTTATTATGTTTTACAATTTAAATGTTGTTGTTACAAGCGTGCACTATTTGTATATATTTAGCTGTCAGCTAATCTATTTAAAACTATTTTCGAGCTTTACAAACACTTTAATAATATTAGACAATTTAAAATTTACTGGAATAAAATAATAATTAAAATTTAACTAAATTTTAATGAATTTTTATAATTAACATTTAAAATAGGTATCAATTTAAAGTAGATATTTCACATTAATTTATATGTCATTTGTTATATTGAAATTAAAAATATATTTTGTCAACAATTTTAGATTTAATTAATGTTCTATTTTAATTTTAAACTATGGCTTATATCCAAGAATGTATAGTGTATACATTAAGCGTCTATGCATATTTGTTTATTTATGTAAAAACACAAAATGAATAAAATATAAATTACTACAAATTTATAAATACTATAGTTACTAGGTATTCAACGTGATTATTATACATACGTGTATGCCATATGGTGTTTTTTCTTAATAATTCAAGTTATATTTAAGTATTGTAAGACTTAATATATAATTTATATTACATTATTAATTATTACCTATGTCATCTATTTAATGACCTAGTCACTAGGTCCTAGTGCCTTAAGATTGTAATAAATATTTCTATT